TTCCAGGTTGGAGACCGTTGCTTCTATGTTGGAGGCCATCGATATTAAGTTTGAGGACAGGTTCAAAACGTCGTCTCGAGGCTTCAGGAGTTTGTCGTCTCGTCTTAGTTGGTGATTTGGTTCGAGAGTCCACCAGCGGCACCCAGCGATGGAGGTGCGGAGAACTGTTTCAAAGCACCGATCCTGCAAGGCTGTATTGCCTGAACGAAGGGATCCAAGAGCGGCATTTAATTGCCAATGATTAACAATGTGTTCCGTGTTCCTATTCCAAATCGAATCGGTGTTTGGTCTTTTCCGGTGCACTTGAAAAAAAGGTGTAGGGCCTGCATGTCCCGCTTTTGGACCAACCACTCCGCCCCGCAGGTCACTTAAAACATATCATATATCTTCACACATCCATCACATCAACGCCGTCACGAAAGGCCTCAACGCCGGAGCAAGCCTACGCGCTGGCACCCATCGCGCAGATCCCCCAGTTCGCCTTCGCAGGCCGGTGGACGGGTTAACTCGCTTTCGAAGCACTCGGCTTCGCGGGGTTCCCGGCAAGCTTGCATGATGGCCTAGAAACTTTTGACCTGCTTTTTGATAGGAAAAGGCCATACTTTGGACAGCTGATCCTGCAAAACAGGGGTCACTCAGGTTCTAGGTCTATATCCCTAGAGACGCCACTGGTACACAATTTCTTCCGCCTCATCAGCCTCAATAAATTTATATAAATTTATTCCGCTTGAAGAATTTCAGCCGCTTCAAAAAAACTTGCGTTGCAGCGGGTTGCCTATTTCAGGCCTGTGAGATAGATGTGTTCTTTTGGAAGCTCGCCGAACATGCGCAGGAAGGCCTTCAAGCTAATTATGTTCAAACCTCCAAAAAAGCACTAAAAACAATACGCCGTTTGGTTGGGAATTTACGCCGTTTGGTTGGGAAATTACGTCGTTTCAAGAATTACATTTTCTGAAACATCGTCCACTGAGGGTTTCCAACCTGGCGTTTGATAGATGTGTTCTCTTAGCTTGAAGCCCTAACTTCTCAACCGCACAATCTTCATCAAAACCATAAAAATCCAAAAACTTCCGCCTCGCCAGATTTACGCCGTTTCAAGCAAGACTAGTTGAAAAGTAAGTTTTTGGAGGTGACCTAAGTAATTTGCACCCCTCCGGTTTCCATAGGTCCTTGGAGGGAGCGTAGTTCGTCAGAATTCAACATTGATTGGTCCATGTTCTAGCATTTGTGGATGCAATTCGCTGGTGAACTGACCGAACCGACAAGCAGGTGAGACTGGACACATCCTACCAGCAAACTATATAAGTAAACAGACGAAGTTGCAGTCATTGCAGTCGTCCAGCTGGTGGGATGCCTACTACAGTGTTGACTTCGTCCCAACCATTCGGAGGCATCCTCATTCCCAATGAGATGGTGTGCCTTGGATGATGCGTCGTAGCAAAAACCGCCTCCGTTCGCTGGTGCGGACCGCGAAGCGATTGGAAGCAAGTCTCCCAGTCTCCTCTAATACAACCATGGACCATATAGTTGTTGGCGTGTTTGTTTGTCAGGCTCCCTAGTGACTCGGGAATCGCAAATTTGGGCAGGTGGTTGCGACTTGTTTGGAAGATTTTGGATGTGCTTCTGAGCTTCGTTTCCAGACGCTTCCACCAGTTTACCGCCAGCTTTTGCGAAGCTGTTTGCTATTTTGTTGGCTTGGGGAAGCTGTGGGCTGTCTACCAGCATATACTTAATGTATTAGTAATTATATGTATTAGTACAATATTAGTACAGTTATATATAATATATAGATTTTGTCTATGCATGTTTAAATGTATATATTGTTTTTGTATTTACCAGCACCGACCACGGATTCCGGGAGCCCCGAAAAGAGGTCTTTCGAGTGTCCAGCCAAACCACCCCGACGTGCATTCTCATCGGCACCTTCATCTCGGTGCAGGTCGTCGGTTTGAGTCCTGAGGATTTCCATGTGAAGTCAGTGCTAGGACACGTCGCAGACGCTCCAATGCTCCCAAAACGGTGCCCCGGAACAGAACCACATGGTTTTGCAGAGTGTTTGTTTCTTTGAGGGCATACACACATATGTCATCATATGTCTATGTTGATGCCAACTGTGTCAATTGGCGTTGTTGGTTTCACTTCCTTCTCAAAGCCGTTTCTCACTGTCGTTTCGGGCTTCGACCGGTCGACCGGTCTCCAAGGCCCTTGTCGTTGCGATGGTTGAAATGGCTGTGTCCACTCTACTATGGAATGACCATGATGTCACTCTCAGCCCCGCGGCCTTGGTTTACAGCGCAAGGAGATAGGGGGAGTTCCTTTTGGAGTCCCAAGACAGGTGCATACCGCATACCTGGTGCAGGAGATGAGCGATGAAAGGGAGGGGGAACCAAGCAAGGTTGGAAGAGAGGAGGCAATAAAGAATGTTTAGGTAAGTATTTTGTACTTTGTCCTTTATTTGCAAAACCCGCCCCGCCTAGCAAACAAGCGAGGGAGGCTGAATAGAGTCAAGCCCATCAAAAGAAGTAGGAGTAGGACTAGGAGTAGGAGTAGTAGTAGTAGTAGTAGTAGGAGTAGGATGAGTAGGAGTAGGAGTAGTAGTAGTAGTAGTAGTAGTAGTAAGAATAGTAGGGGTAGTGGTAGGGGTAGTGGCAGTGGTAGTGGAGGTGGAAGTGGAAGTAGTGGTAGTCTTAGTAGGAGTAGTAATAGTAGTAGTAGCAGCAGCAGTAGTGGTGGTAGTTGGAGTAGCAGTAGCTGTAGCTGTAGCAGTAGTCGCAGCAGGTGGTGGTGGTGGTGGTGGTGGACAAAAGACAATTTTTTAAAAGAAACTTGGCAAACAAACTTCTTGTATCTTGCTTTTTTACTCCCACCCACTAAACTATTCAGGGTGGGAAAATTCTTTGCAAACACTGTGTGTTTTCCCATCCATTTGACTAATTGGGTTCCGACTAAATGTGTGTATATTTGCGTAGTAGGGTGGCGGGTGAGTTGAGGATGTACACTTTGGCCAGAAATGACATGCATTAACTGCAGAGGTCTTACACACAACAGACACAATCCAAGTTCGGTACCCTACCTCCAACAAGCAAGGAAGTGGACAACTCCCTGCTTGTAGAGGAACATTGTTTTCTCCGGGACCATTGTCCACTTCCCTGATTCTTGGAGGGTATGTTTTGCATACTATGTTGTGGTTTAAATATTTTTTGTGATTTTTTGTGTACATATTATAAATTTATACTGTTTATTAACACAAATATACATTATATCAAAAAAAAACAAAAACACATGTCACATGTGCATTGTGCATGTTTCTCGTTTTCACAGAATACGGTACGCGTGTTTTTTTTGTGCTTAAACCATTCTAAGCCATTGGGGCCAAGGTGGCCTCTTTCACCCATTCCGGAGAGCCTCTTGGGTGGTTTCCCCCGGAAGACACCGGTGGACCGGTTCCTCTGGCTTGTCACTGAGGAGTTCGGCGGGCCCATTGAGAAGTTCGAAGACTGCAAAGAAAGGTTGACGTCAAGCAACGGAACCGTGCCAAGCATTGATGCCCCTCGTCCGGAACACCAAAACGACCGCCCAGTTGTGGAATGAACCTGTGGGACCAACTCGGAGTTGGAGTGTGTTGGCTTTTGAGGCCGCTGTGGTTGCATGCCAGAACGTGGTGTTGGCTGGACGAAGAGGGGATTTTGCTTGGTGTTGAGGAGTGTGTCTCCCAATAGAATGCTGCACGATGTCCAATACCTGTGTGAAATATATTCACCTGTTTGCCTATGAGGGCTACATGGAGTCGCTATGGGTTCAAGCGACTCTGTTTTCCTTTGTGAACCAGTGAACAAGAAGGTTCGGCAGTCTACAAATCAATCCTCCCCTGAAGATGGGATGGGCTCACTTCTAATCTAACGCCTCGGAGCTGGTTTCCTTTTTTCCGCAGACGGTCGACGGTCGACGGTCGACGGTCTTCTCCCATTAAAAGCACCACGACTCCACGGAGACGGGGCACTCCACACAACCAAAACCAAGAGTAGAAATAGTAATATTAGTAATTAATGACGATAGCATGATGTTTCCAATGTATGGCTGCCTGGGGATCCCTTAATATTAGTGGGTAAACCATATGTACCAGGGTTAGAAAAAACAAAACAAAGCATACCACTTCTATTGCACAGCAGTTAGAGGCTGGGTCACATCGGATTTTCTTTCACCGGGTGCTGAACTTTGATCCCTCCGGGCGTGCCCTATAGTGCTCCTTTTCTCGTGCTCAGGTGATGTACGAGGAGTGTCCCGGTGCAGCGATTCAAGTCTTGGCCTTGCATTCTCAAGGGGTGTCGCTTGGCCTGAGTCCTGTGCCGCAGACGGTGGTGGTGCTGATGATTTTTCGAAGACAGGGGGGAAGCGAGAAGCGGGTCAGACGGGCGGCGATGCTGCAACAGAGTGGATCTGGAGCTGGGGAAACATGTTACATGGCATTGAAGCACAGAGACGGGGTTCAACTTGAAGTGGGTCGGAGACTACACAAAGTGAATGAGCTTGAGATCCCAGATGTTTTGTTTCAACGTGTCTAAGCCAGCTCATGTTGTTTCGTTGCCCCAAATTCTGATTCTGATGTCTTGGTGCACTTGGAAGAGGGAGATTAACATGACCGATGACCCTCAAATTGATCCAATTTGCACGATCTGCCAGATTTCCGAATCCCTCCTCACGCTCCTGAATGTCTTGGCCATGAGCCGGCGTGGAAAACAGGCGTGTTTCGATGTGTTTCGCCCATGAGCCAAGGTGGGAGAACTTCTTTTGGTGGCCTGCACGGGGCCCCAGAGTGCTCCGGGGTGCTGGGGTGTTTCAGTTCCTGGTGTGGGATCCGGTCTTCGATCTGTCAAAGACCTGATTGGAAGCATTCCAGGTGGAGTTTTGTTCAACATGCTTTTTTTTCTCCCAATCTTGGAAGGCACCCACCTATATCTATAGGCACCAAAGGCTTTGGTCTCCATCTATACATGTTTCGTGTTCTTTTCCTTGGCAGGTCCCAGCGAGGGTTTGTTCGGCTTCTGTAAGACTTCGCCAGACGATTTGTAAGGTTATTGAGTTTGCGCGTTGCTTCCTTCTCCGCAGGGTTCGCGACGTGCGGGCCATTTTCGTCCGCGAGCAAAATCCAGTAGACACGTTGAAGTAGGTGGTGGTCGGCAATGATAACAACAGCAACAGCAACCACCAATGACCGGAGCGTTGCTGCACTCAAGCTAAAGCATGGCTTGCTTTCTATGACAAAACGGCCATTTCGACGCCCATTGCACCTGACCCCACAGTCCTTTTTGTGAGGGCCTTTTGCCTAGTGAGATGCAGATACGACGATGCAGGTGCAGAAAACTGCTGAATTTGTTTGAATTCCTTAATTGAGCCAGAAAACCATACAAACAACCCAGCAAAACGCCAAGTCCCATAGTTGTATGTTCATCTATGTTCATCATGTTTCTTGTTTGGTGACCCCAGACAATAGATCTCCAGGCCTTCTCAATGTGCGTGATCTTTTTCGTGGGCTTCCGGCTCCTGAGCGTCTTCATCCTATGGCGAAAGAGTCGATTTGTTCTGTAGAGAAACAGCCGAGACGATGTCCGGGGGTTTTCTTGATCGGGGGACAAAGCACCTTTTTGTTCGGGGTACGATGCAAAGTACTCGTGCAAAAGCAATCAAAAGCACCTGTTCCTCTCCGAGAAGGGCCAGGTGGATTGGCAGACGAAGAAAGACGCTCCTGTTCTGACCCGCTACAACATCGTGACAACAGTAGAGGATATGCAGGAAAGAGAACAGACGGCAAAAGAAGGAGGTGGTGCAAAGCAAGCCCTTGTTGGCCTTTTGCCCACGGTTCAGTTGGGTGAACATTGAACCAGTTGTTGCGAGTGTTCTTTAATCAAACCATGAATGACTCCGAAGGGGAGCAGGCAATTCCAAGGCCTAGGATTGAAACACCTCAACCACATATATAGTTTAGTTTAATTATATAATTTTACTTGCAGTGTTTGTATGTACAGCCCATATATACTCCGCTATAGGTACTGCAGACACGTGACTCTTGACGTATTTTGGCTCAAGAAAAGGCGTTCCGAAACGTCGAAACTCTGTTTTCATGGTAGCGCGTGAGCCCGGTGAGAGCGAAAGGGACAAAGCGCTGCGCATAAAGGAAGAAAGACATAGTAAAGTCGAGAGCTCCGAGGAGGAGGAGCTGGGAATCTCGGGAGCGGCAGCTTCTGCCGCCCCGAGTGGAAAGGAAGAAGGAGGAAAAGGAAAAGAGGAGGAGACAGAGCCTTTGCCAGCCACATCAGCGGCGGATCCAGCCGCAAACACCACTCCGGCGGTTGTAGAAACTGCCGAAACAACATCGGCGGTTGAAGGAACCGCGGAAACAAAAGAAGAGGAAACAAAAGAAGAGACCACAAAAGAGAAAGAAGGAGGAGAAGAGGAAAAGCCTGAGCAAGACCCCATAGTAGAGCCAGAGGCTGAAGCGGCTGATCCAGCCGCACAGCCATCCTCATCTGGCCGAGTGATCGCCGACTTCCAAACCTCCCCAGAAGGTATCAAAACAGGTTGGGAGGTTCGTGGCACTCACGCCAAATATACCCCAGCCAAAGTTGACCCCAAAGCACCTTGGAGGGTAAAGAAGAACATTTGGGGGCAGGTCAAGAAGCATCCAGAGCCACAATCCGGATTTCGACTTCGAAGCAAGACTTCGCTTCAGTACCGGAGGCTCAAGGACCTGGTCAGGCTGGAGAAGAAGAAGGGTGTCATCACAGAGGATCTGAGGAGGCGCATCAAAGAGTTCGGAAAGGGGCGCACTCCACAAGAGATCAAAGAAGAGCGGGAAGAGCAGAAGGTCCGCAATCAAGAGAAGCGGGCCAAGAAAAGGAAGACCTCAGAAGCGGCTGATCCAGCCGAGGAGGAGGAGGTCGAAGAAGAAGAAGAGTCGGTGAGCCATCCAAGTCCAGTTCGACAGCCTCGAACACCGGACGGGCCACCGCCGGCTAAGCGACCGCAAACCCGCGACACTCAGCGGGGACGGGCGGTCTGGGGGCGTGCATTGGAGTTGAACCTCCGTATCATCGCCCTAGCCAACGAACGGGCCCAGCGATTGACGATAGAAAATTGGAAATTGGAGAGCCCGTTCCAAGTGCGAAAGTTTGCGGCCGACGAACTTTGCGAGCAGCGGAATCTCAAGGGTACCGTTGCATTGGCCGCCATTCGCGAATTGTGGAAGACCCCCAACGAGCAAGGAAAGAGAGGATCCAACGAGGCCTGTAGTTCTTGCGACGAACGGCGGCAGGCACAGCTGCCGGTGGTGAAGGACTACATCAAGCGGCGAGGACTTAAGGGACCTGCCGCGCTTGGATCGAGCGCCAAGTCCAAAGCGGCGCCGGCTGTGAGCCTGACACCTGGGCCGAAGGTAAAGGCCAAATCGAAGGCCGGTCCAAAAGGAAAGGCCAAACCATCCGCCGCGCCAAAAGTAGCGGCTGAAGCGAAGGCCACAACTGTGGGTCGTCGCCCGGAGGAACTCACGCGAACTACTGTTGAAGTTCGCGGGGTACCAAAACCCTCCGATCCTTGACCGGGCGAACCGCCCGCGACTGCCGCTGGAAAAGGAGTGAGCGGCAGCAGCATCAGGGGGTTGAGGGCAGGAAACCATGGAACAACAGATCCAACAATTGAGTGAAATGGTACTTCAACTCCAACAGAACCAAGCGAGGTTGGAGCAAGAGAATCAAGTGTTGAGGGAGTCTCAAGGTGGGGTATCAATGCTAGCTTCAGCTGTAGGAGAATTAGCTAAAAGCCTTGAGAGGAAAGATGATAGGAAGAAGTCCCAAATCCTCATGGATACCAAAGGGTTAGGACGCCCCGAAAGTTTTGGAAATGTTGAAGGGGATTTTCGGAAATGGGCCAGGAGCATTGATAACCTGTTCATAACTACTTTTGGGAGAGAGTTCAGTGAAGTCCTGGAGTATATTTTGGAGCAGGAAGACGCGATTGAAATGAGTGCTATGGAGTCCGCATTTGGGGCTGGAACCATAGCAGCTATCGATGATTTAGAGGATAAAGCTGACCAAATTCATCGCGTGCTCCTGACCCTGACCTCGGGTGAAACAGAGGATTTGATGGTAGGAGCTTCAAATGGGTTTGAAGCATATCGGCGAGTTCACCGCCGTTGGGATCCCCGAACCTCGGGACGGAAACGCAATATACTTCGAGCGATTCTCCAACCGGAGAGGGTCAAGACATGGGCCGCGGTGAGGCCAGCGATCGAACAGCTCGAAGAGCTCATCAGGCGGTACGAGTCCCGGAGGAGTGCCGCAGGGATTAGGGAAACCCTATCGGACGACATCAAGTCCGCTTCATTGGAGATGCTGGTACCCCCAGATCTGGAGAAACATCTTTTGTTGAACAAGAGTAGATTGACAACCTATTCGTTGATCAAGCAAGAGATTGAACTTGTCATTGAAACATCCCTCACATCAAAGTCATCTGTTCCAAAACCAGGTTCATCAAGTTCAAGTTACCAAGGACCTCAACCCATGGACGTCGATTCGATCGGACAATGGATCGCAAGCCTGGTCAAAGGAAAAGGTAAAGGAAAAGGTAAACAGGCCAAAGGTGATGGAAAGAAAGGCTCAAGCAAAGGGGGTTCAAGTAAAGGCTCAAACCCGGCTCAAGATATTACCTGCTATAATTGCGGTAAGAAAGGACACCGAGCGGCCGATTGCTGGAGCAAGAAACGGCCGGATGGAAAAGGCGATAAGTGGTCAGGTTCAGGCAAAGGAGATAAGAGTGGCAAAGGTGGCAAAGGCAACAAAGGCAAAGGTGGAAAAGGCGGCAAAGGCAAAGCCGCGGGAAGTATGGAAGAGATGGACGAACCGGATGATGGCATTGAGCCAGCTCCGGAAGCCGATGTCGGCATGCTCATGGCAGACTTGAGTGGAATTGGAATGGCGGATACCTCATCCGCCGAAGAATGGATGAAGTTTAACCTGGACACTGGAGCAGCCCAGACAGCCATCCCGAATGGCTGGGAGGACCGAGTGGTTGTCAGTGAAGGCAACGGAGTTGTATTCAAGACTGCATCAATCAGGAGAGTTGGTGCCCAGTCAGGGCATTGGAACCTTTGAAGGGTTCGATGAGAGCGGCAACAAATGCCGTGTGAAAGGTTCAATGGCTGATGTTCACAAGCCATTGATTTCAGCATCCAAGTGCTTAGGCTTTGGAAGGATTGCAGTTCTCGATGCAAAAGGCGGAAACTTGATTCCGCAAGGGTCCAAAGTTGGAAAGGCTGTCCAGGCGATCCTGGAGAAAGCGAACGCTGCAGAGCAGCGGAGTTGGATCCCTGTGTATCAGGAACAGGGAGTATACAACTTCTACTTGAGAAAGCCAGGGTATAAACCGACAAAGGAATGCTGTGGCATCGCAGAGTTGAACGCCACAGGAGAGAGAGGAGATGCCTCTATGGATTCAGGCCGACCTGGTCCAGAGGGGCGAGAAGAGGATGATGAGTTGGAATTAGTTGATGAGGTTGAGAAACCCATCCAGATAAGAGCACCGGAGGACCCAACTCCGGCTGAGATCGAAGAGCACGAGGCGACAGGCCATGTGCAGTATCGAAGTTGGTGCCGGCATTGCATTGCTGGACGGGCTGTGGGACAGCCACACCGGACGAGATCCGAAGAAGAGAAGGCCAAGAGCCTTGTGCCCACAGTGGCAATGGACTATACGTTCATGTCACGGGGCGGTGTGGAGGACGAGCGAGTGAAGCCGATCCTCGTAGTGAAGGATGAGAGGACACAGTCCTTAGCGGCGACCTTCGTGGACTCGAAGGGAGCGACACCGTATGCAGTGAAGTTCGTGGCGAACTTCCTGAAGAACTTGGGACACCGCAAGGTGGTCCTTAAGTCAGATGGTGAGCCATCAGTGGTAGCCTTGAAAGAGGCAGCGGCGAAAGAAACCGGCATAGACTGGGTTTCGGAAGAGTCGCCAGTAGGAGACCATCAGGCGAATGGTCTGGCAGAGAACGCCTGCAAGGAGATCAAGCGTCAAGTACGAGTTCTCCGCAGCGCGTTGGAAGAGAAGCTCGGCAGAGAGCTCAAAGATGATGATCCTGCATTGGCATGGCTGCCAAGACAGGCAGGAGACCTGTTGAGCAGGTACAAGAAAGGTCAAGATGGCAGAACGCCTGAGGCCAGAAGATGTGGAAAGCAATGGCGAAAACCTGCCATAGCTTTTGGTGAGCGCCTATACTTTAGAGAAGTGGGCGAAGGAGTTCGCATCCTGAAAGAAGGACGCTATGTAGGACACCATGGCCGAACAGGATCCATTTTGGTGATGACGGCCAATGGCGTGCGAAGAGGCACAGGAATCCGGCGGCTGAGTTCAGCCGACCGCTGGGACCCAAGTGATTGGGACCTTTTGCGGGGCTTACCGTGGGAGCATTCCGCGGCAAGGCCTGCCGGCGAGCAGCTGATGCTCGAAGAGCGCCTTGTGGTACCACCTCCCAAGGAGGAACGAGTGGCACCACCGCAGCAGAGGCGAGTGTACATCAGAAGAGAGGATGTGCACAAGCATGGAGCCACAGAAGGCTGCCCAGGATGCAGATGCATCTTGGAAGATAAAAGGACGACCTTGCCGCACACAGAGGCGTGCAGAGCAAGGATCACCGAAGCAATGGAAAAGGACGAAGCAGGGCAAGCGAGACTTGAAGCCCATGCAAAGAAGAGGAAAGAACGGCAACAGCTTGACACTGTGAAGCCGAAAGTCGTGGCCGACAAAGACTCCGACATCCCAGCCGAAGACGCGGCTGGGGAACCAGAAAAGAAGGAAGAAGCAACGAGCGCAGGGTCGGGAAGCTCACCGCCAGCAGCAGCAGAGGGTGAGAAAACCTATCCCGATGACCCGAAAGAGAGATATGAGATGAAGAGGCAAGCAGCCGAGATAGAGAAGAAGCCAGTGGCGAAAGCCAAGGTAGCAACAGAGCCCAAGAAGAGAACAGGAGAACTTCGGATAGATCCACCTGGGGCAAAGGTCAAGCCGAATCCAGTTCAAGGAACAAAGAGGTCCGCAGAGACCGCCGTAGAAGACCTTGATCCCAGAGTGGAAGAGAGTCCAAAGAAAACGTCTCAGTTTTCACATGTTCCAGAAACACCACCAGCAG